CTGTGCCACTGGTCAGGTCCAACCTCATCACCTCCCTCACCCCATGACCCGGGCCCTCAGCCCCCTGTCCTCCTCACCCACGAGCACAGCCGGGGCCCACAGCAGAGTCACAACAGCCTCCCTGGCACTGGCAGTCTGTGGCCTCCATCTTCAGCCCAGGGAGGAGAGGAGGAACATCTTCTCTGCCCTGTAGAAGCTGCTGCTGCTGTGGCAAATGGTGGTGGCAGCAGACAAGGCACCAAAGGTGCAAGACATCACCAAACCGACTGGAGAAAGGCTCCAATAAATTACCCTGTTCACCCAGGAAGACGTCAGGACCCATTCCAGGCCTCTCAGCACTTCCTAACCCCCCATCAACACACAGCCCCTGACTTCATGCCCATTTCACATTTCTGTCACTAGTGCTGGGGTAGGATCACAGGCTGGGGCAGGGTGGAGGGACCTCTGCCCAGTCCCTGCTCCCTCAGGGCCACCCAGAGCCAGCTGCCCAGGATGTGCCCAGGTGGCTTTTGAGTCTCTCCATGGGTGGAGACTCCACCGCCTCCCTGAGCACCTGCTCCAGTGCTCACAATGGAAAAGTGTGTCCTGATGCTCAGAGGGCCCCTCCTGTGTGTCACTTTGTGCCATGGCCCCTGGGTCTGTCCCTGGGCACTGCTGAGCAGAGCCTGGCCCCGTCCTTTCTGCATCCTCCCTCCAGGTATTTATCCATACAGGGGAGATCCCCTGAGCCTGCTCTGCTCCAGGCCGGGCAGTCCCAGCTCTCTCAGCCTCTCCTCATGGCAGAGATGCTCCAGTCCCTCCATCACTGTCATGGCCCTGGGCTGGACTCTCTCCAGTCTGTCCCAGTTTGTTGTACTGGGCAGCCCATCTCCGGGCCCAGCACTCCAGGGGTGGCCTCAGTGGTGTAGAGGGAAGGGTTCTCTACCTGCTGCCAATACTCAGCCTAGGGCAGCCACTGGGACACTTGGCTTGAGAGCAAAGTTGTTGCACATGTGTTGGCTCATGGCCCTTTCCTCCAGGCTGCCTGGCAGGTGGGTGCCCTCGGCACATCCTGGTGAAGGAGGGTGACCCTCCCCACCTTCAGGACTTTGCACTTCCCTTTGGTGATGATCTTCATGAGGTTCCTGTCAGCCCCTTTCTCCAGCCAGCTGAGATGCCTCTGGATGCAGCACATCCCTCTGGTGTCACCTGCAAACTCGCTGGGGGTGGACCCTGTCCATCAGCAATACACCTCTGGGCCTGGGCCCAGCACCAACCCCTGGGTACACCACTGTTACTGGCCTCCAGCTAGACTTGTGCCACTGAGCCCAGCCCTTCAGCCAGGTTTGAGTTCGCCTCCCTCACCCAAATCCCCCTTCAGCAGCCTGCTGAGGCTGACAGCACCCACTGCCCTCCCTCAGCCTCCAGCCCAGCCATTTCAGCACAGGTGACCAGGCTGCTCAAGCACGACTTCACCTTCTCCCACACAACAGCTGC